CGGTGATTCTACTATATACAGTTTGGACTACCATTAAAAGTGAGATGATGAGTGAAAAGCCAAAATTCAAATATTTTTTGAGATATAAAAATCCTAATGTTTATAAGGTATTGCCCGATGCAATACATTCAAAAAAAATGCTGGAATGTGTCTACCTAATAATATATTGCAGAATGATGTTAGTCAGGATGGGTGTATTTGGGATCATAAAGACAGGGGTTCGTCCATTCATCTATGCCTAAGAGCATTACTCATCAAGTATAGAAACACATAACGATTCACGTTTTTCCCGCTATTGATTCTTAGTCTTGTTTGTAATTCTGGTCAAGTTTCCTAATCATTTCAATCTTCAAACTTCAATACAGACCAAAAAAAAACCTAGGTGTTATTGTTCCCCTCATTCCCCGTGGTAATTCGCCTTTGCTGTTCTTCCCTTTGTTGATCTTGCCAACGATGCTGTTTGGCAATATCATGAATTTTGAAACCAAATATCTTTGGCACATATCGTTCGTTACTCTTAAGAGGGAGCAGATGCGGATAGACTTGGAAAAACATATGAGGAAACGTAGTTCCGTAATATGCTCCATCGATACTGGCGTGTCGTGTGGATTTGGGGTTGTAAATATCTTCGCAACGAGGGCAGTACAACTTTACAGATTTGGTATAGGGCTGATCGGAAAGACCAACTGGTAGTAATTGTTGATTGTTGCATAGAACGCGCGGACAGCGGCCGAAGTCAGCTTTTTTGTACTTCTCGAGCTATTACACATGACGAGCGAGTTGAAATAAAAAAAGAATAATTGTGAAGAAAATTAATTTTCTTGGAGAGTTCTGTTTTTCCGACATTTTACACATGAACCACATACCATTTTCGCCAATCCTCGGCTTGTGATGATGAACCTCGCGTGAATCAAACCGTATAAATGACGAGCGGATTTTTCAACGGCTTCACGCATCTCGTCATCAAGCTCCTCCTCTGAAAAAAAGTGAAGGTGAGCTCGCATATCTTTCTTTCTCAGCATATATCAATTAATAGCGTCTAAGCGAACTTAGAGCATGACAAATTAAAATCCATACCCAAGGAGTCAGTTATCAAATCAAGAGCCTGAGCATAATGTTGAACTTCTGAATTCAATCCTGTCAAATTAAATCGGTCAAGTATATACTCCTCGTCAACTTCGCAAAAATATTCGTTTCCCTTTGTGGACAAAAACCAGTCGATCCAGTATTTTGTGTAATCGCTATCCGAACCACTTGTAAGATCATCCACTAGAAAAAGTTAAATGACTTTCGCTTTAATATTTGAGAGGAAATCACAATGAATTGAAATAAAGGATGCTACAAACTTTTTACGTCCCCGTTCAAGTCCTGTTCGTGTTCTTGAACGTTTTCAATTCCCTCGTCGTCGTCAATGACGATCGGATTTCGGGCCGAATTGTCCAAAGTATCTTGTTTTCAAAGAGTCTCTTTTTGATTTCTGCAGATTACCTATCTTATTGATAGGGGGTAAACACCGGAATAATAACTTGGGAAGTTGGAATACTTTTCTAATTCCTGAGACAAGGGTCTACTTTGAAAATATAAGCGGTAAGAATTATCGACAAACTGCCGGTGATCGATTTGCTTTTTTTTTTTAACCCGGCAAATTAAGTTCACCAATAAAATGAAGGATATTATCAAAATTTTGTTGAAAAGGAATTTTTCATCAAATCTGATTGAAATCCCTCTCTAATCTATTATCCGTTAAGAGCGTCATGGTGGGTTGCATCCATCTTTTCTCAGGACGCAAATTCATCCAAAAATTTGAACCTTATAAGTTGCGTTTGTTATTAGTCTCACCGAAAGTTTGAGGCTCCACGCCATGGTTCTCTGGGTTTCCTTCCGCGTAAGCGCGCACGAAGACACCGCGGAAAGGTCAAGTCTTTTCCAAAGGACGATCCCAGCAAAAAGGCGCATTTAACAGCTTTTCTTGGATACAAAGCAGGCATGACTCATGTTGTTCGAGATTTGGACAGGCCAAACTCCAGTAAATATGGATTTTCCATTTTTTACTTCAGAATGCTTGGAAGAAATCCCATTATTTACAATGTGTTTATTGATACCGAATAGAGATGCACAAAAAAGAAATAGTCGAGGCTGTTACCGTGATCGAAACTCCGCCAATGGTCATCGTTGGTGTTGTTGGTTACGTTGAAACACCTCGTGGTCTTCGAACGTTAACCACCGTCTGGGCTGAACACTTGTCCGATGAAGTAAAACGTCGTTTCTATAAAAACTGGTATCGTTCAAAAAAGAAGGCGTTCACTAGATATGCGAAAAAACACGCTGAGGGTGCCAAAGACATTAATAAAGAGCTTGAACGCATCAAAAAATACTGTCAGGTTGTTCGTGTATTGGCACACACTCAAATCCGAAAGGTAAAAATAGGTCAAAAGAAAGCACATTTAATGGAGATTCAGGTTAATGGAGGAACTATATCAGAGAAGGTTGATTTCGCCAAAAGTCATTTTGAAAAAGAAATTGATATCTGCTCGGTCTTTGAGCAAGATGAGGTGATCGATGTTATTGGTGTCACAAAGGGAAAAGGATTCGAAGGTGTGACGCATCGATGGGGAACGAAGAAACTTCCTCGTAAGACACATAAAGGTTTGCGTAAGGTGGCCTGTATTGGTAAGTATATTTGTCTTATTTTCCAACTTTGTTAATGTACTATTTAATATGGTTGACCTTGCAATCTCGTTTACAGGCGCATGGCATCCTTCGAGGTAACGATCAAATTTTTAAATAGATTGTTAAGGGTCTATGTTTTAAATTTATTTATTTTCCAGGGTCATGTATTCGGTTCCGCGTGCTGGTCAGAACGGGTATCATCATCGGACCGAAGTTAATAAGAAGATTTATCGTATCGGCAACGGCACTGACGAGGCCAATGCATCGACCGAATACGATCTTACTAAAAAGCAAATCACCCCATTAGGTGGATTCCCACATTATGGAACTGTGAACGAGGACTTGTAAGTTGAATGATATAGTCGCCTTGAATATATATATATATATATATACTGACATTACTAATGTTATTATGCTTTTTCACATAGTATTATTATCAAGGGTGCGTGTGTCGGGGTCAAGAAACGTGTGCTTACTTTAAGAAAATCTTTAATCAATCATACTAAGCGTTCAGCTCTTGAGAAGATAACTCTCAAGGTAATAAATATATGATCTGGATGTTTAAAGTATTTCATCAACAAGCACTAATAATTTTTAATTTGTGATATAGTTTATCGACACAAGTTCCAAATTTGGTCATGGTAGATTCCAGACGGCCGAAGAAAAACATGCATTCCTTGGAACTCTCAAGAAGAACCTTGCACAAAGTTGATTTTCGATTAGACTTAATTCAGTTAATGATAATAAAATCATCGGTGTTTTAACGTGCCGGGTAATATCTGTAAAGTAATAAAATTGTGCCCATCACGTGATTCGATCACGTAATACAAAATACGTAATCTGTTTTCATTTTCGCCTTGGCTTTCTCAAAAATGCTTAACATAACTTTACAAACTCTTGAAACAATCCAATATCTATGGGCGCAAACCAACTTATA